TGGCCGGCGCACTGCGCTGATCCAATGGCAGGAGCCAGGTACTTATCTTGGTCTCCCATGGGGTGCAGGGCCCAAGCACTTGGGCCATCCTCCACTGCACTCCCGGGCCACAGCAGAGAGCTGGCCTGGAAGAGGGGCAACAGGGACAGAATCCAGCGCCCCCACCAGGACTAGAACCCGGTGTGCCGGCGCCGCAAGGTGGAGGATTAGCCTAGTGTGCCGCGGCGCCGGCCTGAACTGCTTTCAACAGAGATGAATGCAGGTCTCTGTTCAGATCAGGATTTTTCTTGCTCAAAGCCAAAGGAAAGGAGGGAAGAGTGAAGTGAGAAAAGCTAGGCATGGGAATTGGATGATCCCTGTCCTAATTTCTCCATCTGAAAAATAGAGGAGAAAGATTTGTATTGTGTATTCCTGACTGGCCTTGAGAAGGCCTTGGCCCTCTTTGGAAATTTTGAAAAAGTTGTGTATCCCTTGACCAGGAAGAAAGTTCCAGGTTCTAGTCGCCATGCTATTAAGATTGAAATTCAAATATTCTGGAAACACTTACGCATCCCCAAATGTTCCCTTCCTACTCTGAGCATCCTAGACAAATGGGATGAAAACATTTCTCCTCAGACTGAAATGCAAAGCTAAACTCGGAATCAACGTCATTGGTTCAGCTACTTTAAGCACCACAGTCATTACAGTACTTCTTTTTTCTTTAGTCACCCTCACTCTCGTTTCCCACATGCTAGCAATTATAAAGTCTTGGCAACTTTACCCACTGAATAGTTGTCTTCTTAATAGCTCGGTTTACCCATGATGATCATTTAAACTCTTATTGTATATTCTGAAATTGTTCACCTGATCTTGCTTTTATTTGAGTCTCTTTTAAATCTTTTGAGTCAGTGTGCTATACAGTTTCAGTGAGTGCCAAAAGATGAAAATATGTTCCTTCACTTTTTAAAAAACATTTATTTTTTATTTGAAAGGCTGATGAGAGTAAGAGCAAGAGCAAGAAAGCGCTTTTCCATCTACTGGTTCACTCTCCAAATGGCTGCAACAGCCAGGGCTGCCTGGCCACGGCTAGGAGCCAGGAACTCCATCCAGATCTCCCATGTGAGTTGCAGGAACCCAAGTTACTTAAGCCTTCAACCACTCTTTTCCAGACACATTAGCAGGAAGCTGGATTGGAAGTGGGCAGCCAGGACTGGAAACAGCACTTTGGTATGGGATGTTGGTGTTGCAAGTAGTGGTTTAACTCGCTGCACCACACTGCTAGTCCCTGTTCTTTGCAATCTTAAAATCTTGAGAATTCATGACATTATAGGAAAAAGGCTAAGCCCCCATGGTATGCTTGGTCTGGTTGTACAATTCTGCAAGGTCATATCTTATACTCCACCTATGTAGCTGCTTAGGATTTCCCAGCTTTTGTGTTTGTGCTGTTTTGATTTCTTCAGGGCAGTTCCTTCTATCAAGACTTAGATCAGCTATGTTTCTTACAAGTAAAATTCTAGAGCTCTTCCCTCCTCCAGCTACTCTTGGCCAGTGACTCCTTGAAACAATAGTTTTCCCACTTCCATGATTTCAGTTACCCACAATCGTCTTTGGTCTAAACATATTAAATGGAAAATTGCAAAAATAGATAATTTATGAGTTTTAAATTGTGCATTGTTCTGAGTAGCATGCTGAAATTTTGTGCCATTCTACCTAAGGTGTGAATCATCCCTTTATCTGGAATATCCACACTGTATATGCTACCTGCCCATTAGTCACTTCGTAGCCTTTTTAGTCATCAGATAAACTGTGCTTGTATCCAAGTAACCCTTATTTTAGCTGATAATGGTCCAAAAATACAAGACCAGTGGTGCAGCCAATTCAAATATGCCAAACAGAAACTGAAAAGTGCTTCCTTTGAGTGAAAATTCCCAGTAAGGAGACAAAAAAGATCACAAGGTTACTTAGATCTGCATGCAGTAAGAATGAATCTTCTATATCTGAAATTGTGAAGAAGGAAAATTGTGTGCTGTCACACCTCTCACTGCAAAAGTTATGGCCATACTGCTTGATAAGTGCTTAGTTAATATGCAAAAGGAATTAAATTTACGTATGTATGTATAGGAAAAAACATATGGTATACAGGGTTCTGTCCTGTCGGTGGTTTCAGGTATCTACTAGGGGCCTTGGAATGTGCCCTGCCACAGAAGAAGGGGACTACCAGAGCCATTTAGAACACTCTATAATCTCTGTCATATTTGTCACTTAGTTCTAAAACAGGCCTAATAATCCTAGTCATACCAATTAAATTAAATGAGATAACACCTGCTAAACAGATTTATACCTGGAATGTAGCTAAGTTTTCCCCTCTCTCTTTTCCTTTTCTTCCCCCCCCCCCCCACTTCCTTCTTTCCAAATTACTGAATGTCTTTTCACTATGAGCTCCAAGAAGTCAGAGAATGTGATGTTTTCTTCATTGTTGTATCCTGTGGTCCCTAGCATGGCACCCAGTAAGTGCCACATATATTTGTATAATCTGAATGATTGACTAAATGACCATTTTCACTGTAGAGTATCAGCTGAAGACAAATAGGGAATTGTGACTGCTTAAAGTCCTGTCCGTAGTCTTTTTTCTTTTTCTAAGGCTTTATTCTTTATTTATTTGAAAGGCAGAGTTCGAGAGAGAGGAGAAGAGACAGAGAGAGAGGGAGATCTTATTCCACTGGTTAATTCCCCAGATGGCTGCACCGGCCACAACTGGGCCAGGTCGAAACCAGGAGCCTGGAGCTTCTTTCAGGTCTGCACATGGATGGCCCAAACACTTGGGCCGTCTTCGGCTGCTTTTCCCAGGCCATTTGCAGGGAGCTAGATCAGAAGTGGAAGAGCTGGGAATTGAAACAGGGTCCATATGGGATACCAAGGTCACAGGTGGAAGCGTAATGTGCTACACTACAACACTGGCCTCCTATCTGTATTCTTTTAAAATCAGCAATGTTTTTAATTGTTGTAGTCACTTGGTCACAGAATCAAGCTACTTTTTTTTTTTTTTTTACCTTGAGTGCAAATGTAAATACTCATGTGAAAGGTATGTGGCACTAAAGAGAAAATTATTTAGTCATACTTGTTAAAGATGGTTTAGAAACTATTTGAGGAACCATTGTGATGGGGTCTTGGCAGTGGAAAGAGATTGGGCTCTGAATCCAACAAGAACTAACAACCAAGACCAGGCTTTGGGACAGTGGATGGAAAACTACTAAGAGGAAACATCAGGAAGAAGGGGACTGTCTAAAGGAGCTTGACAGAATCACTGCTGGAGGCTGGTCAGGGTGATAAGATAGTGAGGGTGGTCAGATATCAAGGGTGGGGGATTTCACTAACCTGAGTTAGCTGGAGAACTCAGGGAACTCAGGAGCATGACTCAAGTGTGGCCAAAGGAGAAAGTGTTTATGAGATTGATTCCTGAATTTTTTTTAACAGAAATATGGGCTCTTACTTAGTTCATTGCTTCATTGAGAACTGAGAGTGTCCTGTCTAGGAATGATCAAGAAGTTGTTGGAATAAACATGTCAGGTTAAGGTGACCTTGTTCTACAGAGAACAGATAGTCTTAGGATGATGCACTGTGAGAACAAAATGACAAGCAGTATCAAAATAACCAGGTGATACAGCTATTTAAACAAGTTGTATTCCAATAGAGATCCTGAAACTCATTCTCATGCAAACCTTAGCAATTCTCAGCATAAACCATCTTATGAAATTAGTAGTATAGACAGAGAAGAGGAAAGGACAACTTTTCATTTTTTAGCAGGGAAAGACGTAAAACTGAAAAAAGGCAAGGCTAAATTTAGCTTTCCTAAGTTAGTTTAAAAAATCACAGAAATTTTAATAAAAAGATATCTTTTAACAAAAGCAACAAAATAAGTCAATGAGTAAAGGGAATGAGAATAGTTATGCTGGGAAACCTGGATTAAGGAGAGCAACCATGGTTCCATGAAGACTAGGGAGGAGGGACAGTAACTATAGGTTACTTGTTTGTCTTTCTCTAGTTACAGCCTTCTCTGTGGGCCATCAGGAGGCAGAGCACCACAGGTTCTGTTAACACTGCCAGAAACACAGGAACCTGTGGACCATCATGGCTTTCCCCAGTCTGAGCCCCCAAAACCCAGGGCCTGCTCCTTTGTTTTCCAGCTCCAGAACTAGTATCAGTTCTCTTGCTGGCTAACTTTGTATGTTATTCCTTATGTCTTCTCCTTGGTCCTCTGAACCATTTGTCTTTTGTCATAATGCATAATTATATAGCTTGAAAGTCATGACTAGGCTCAGTGTTGTGGCATAGTGGTAAAGCCACCACCTACAATACTGGCATTCCATATGGGTACCAGTTTGAGATCTGGCTGCTCCGCTTCAGATTCAGCTCCCTGCTACCCATGTGGGAGATCTGGAGGAAGCTCCTGGCTCCTGGCTTTATCCTGGCCCAGCTCTAGCCATTGCAACCATCTGGGGAGTGAACCAGTGGATGGAAAATCTCTCTCTCTCTCTCTCTCTCTCTCTCTCTCTCTCTTTCTCTCTCTCTCTCTCTCCTTCTGTCTCTAAAACTCAAACAAATAAATAAAAATCTTAAAAATAAAAAGTAATGATTATGCAAAGCTGACCATAGGCAGGTGTCAGTAGGTTCACAGGAGGAAGGAGAACAGGCCTCCTAAAGCAGGCCTTGGATTCTGACTGATTATCCTAGGAAATCAAACTGTTGTGTCTCAGTCTCCTCAGTGAAAAACATGAATAGTATAAATTCTGTCTTCCAGCAAATGCAGATGGTTTTCTCATAGTTCTGGCTTGCCCAAAGAATGTAGTTTCTTACAACCCAAACACCCCTTCTCCTCTACAGTTTTCTCTCTAGAGTCTTAAGTATAAGCCAGATTCAAGAGCAAGTCTCACTCTTTGAGACTCAGTGAGAAAGGCTGGAAGACTGAGGAACGGCAGGTATAGGACAAAAAGGAGGGGGCAGTTAGCCAGGTGTATACTTACCACTTTTTGATTCCCTTCATTATCGGTGAGCAGCCATTCAATATCCAGAGTGTCTTTTTCTGGGAGCCCCAGTTGATGGTGACAGGGCAGAGTGACCTTCTCCTCTGCCACTCTCTTGATTTCAGTGTGAGTCCCCAGGGTTCCAACATAGTAGGAAACTGGAAGAGGAAAATCTCTAATGAGTGATGTGGAGACTGGGTGGCAATGGATGGGGAGAAAATATCACAGCAAATGATTATTGGATGTTCCTGTGGGCAAAGAGAAGGTTAAGATGTTGGAAGAATCCCAGGCCAGAAGAACCACGGGTCCTGTTGTCCCATACTAGCTGTTCCGTTAATGGAATTTAGCCTATCTTTAGCCCCCTGAATTACATCCTGCTTATACCTGTTTTTCCTGATTTACTGAGTTTTTACAATTAAGTCACTGAGTTCAACAACTGTATCTTTATCTTCCTGTCTCCTAGCAGAGGCTTCCCAGAGTACTTTGCTCATGGAAACCATGCACTGGATGCCCAGCAACTCACATTCTTGAAGGTACAGAACCAGAACCTTTAGAAGCTTAAGAAAGCTGTCAAGGTGGACCTTCTTATTTTACTAATGGCTTCTTTAAATCCAGCAACAGTTGTGGGTGACCAGTAGCATGTATTTTAGAGTGTGAAAAGATGACTACCCAAACGTCATCATTTAAAGGGAATTATTCATCATCAAAGGCCTGCAATTTTAGAGAAGAGAATAATTATAGGCAATTAATTTGAGGGTTCAAGAGGAGCATAAATCCTTCAAGGATTTTGTAAATATTAGGCATACCATATGTAAATCATCCAGTGTAATATTTAGCACTTAATGGCTCTGAATAAAGCAACTGATTTTATTATTAACAAGGTGGTATTTTTGGAAAATAGAATTCACTTAGATAGAAATAGAAGAAGAGGGAAGGTGTTGAAGTGTGAGGAGAGGTGAAGGGGAGGAGGGAACAAGAAGGAAAAGGGTGGGGCAGGGCTATCAGTGAATGGCAGCAGACAGTTCAGCTTGCTGACGGGAGAATACGTGTGGGAAAGAAGTAACAGATTATGAAATGGGCTGGTGAGGCAGCATCATTTAGTGACCTAATCCCTTGCTTTGCTTAATGAAGAGACATTTAGGAGCTGTATATACAAATACACAGGAAAAGGGGGGATACTGAGTTATGCCCTTGGGAAAAGTGTTAAATTTTTAAAAAAGATTTATTTATTTATATCAGAATTAGAGAGAGAGCAAGCTTCCATCTGCTGATTCACTCCCCAAATGGCCACAACTAGGCCAGGCTGAAGCCAGAAGCTTCTTCCAGGTCTCCTCCATGGGTGCAGGGGCCCAAGCACTTCGGCCATCCTCTGCCGCTTTCCCAGGTGCATTATCAGGGAGCTGGATCAGAAGTGGAGCAGCTGGGACTTGAACTGGTGCCCATATGGGATGCTGGCACCACACACAGTGGCTTAACTTGCTGCGCCACAGTGCCAGCTCCCAAAATTGTTAAATTTTTGAGAGAGAGTGTTCAAGGATAAGCGGACATTGGAGAGTCCACTGGGGACTGGAGGTGTAGACTAAGTTTGGATTTAAGTCCATTATGAAATCCAGGCAGAACTGCCCAACAGCCCTCAGCTCTCTTCCTGACCACAGCGCCTCCCTTTGCACTGCAGAGACCCACACAGTTCCCCAATGTCGACCCTTAATTGTTATATTGGAGAAAGTCACAGCACCCTGGCATTGCTTTTCTTCCTCACTTATTTATCTCGCACCTCATAAATAAAGCTATTAGAAATATTCCTGGGGCCGGCACTGTGGCACAGTGGGTTAAGCTGCTGTCTGCAGTGCTGGCATCCCATGCGCCAGTTTGAGTCCAGCTGCTAGTCTTCCAATCCAGCTCCCTGGTAATGCTCCTGGAAAAGATGGGTCAAGTTATTGGACAACTGAACCCACCTAGGAGACCCAGAGGAAGCTTCTGGCTCTTGGCTTTAGCCTGGCCCAGCCCCGGCTGTTGTGGCCATTTGGGTAGTGAACTAGCAGATGGAAAATCTTTCTCTATCTCTCCCTTTCTGTAACTCTGACTTTCAAATAAATAAATAAATAGTAGAAAATACTCCTATTCCATCAGTTGAGTCTGGGTTAAACAGTGAGACTGCTAAATTTTCATTGGTCATTTTCTGGAAACATTGTCTGTGGGAGGTGGGAAGATAGAAACAGGCCTTTTCTCTAAGACAGGCTCCAGTATTAGGTCATGGGCTGGGTTTAGAGCTTTCTTAGAGACCTTCCAAGACCACTTTCTAGTGCAGTAATGCCTCCAGCAACAAGAGAAGTCTTATAGTGTGTTCCCACTTCCCCTAGGAACACACATTCTTTTATTCCTTCAACTTTTGTCTTCCATTCTATCTAGTTTCATGCCACATGGTTTCGAAATATGAAACAGTCTTTGTTTCTGAAGCCAAATTCTGAATTTTCTCATTTGGCTCATGACTCCCCATCCATCCTGGGTCCTCTTGACCAATAGGAATTCAGTTCCACTTATCGGTCTCTTTACCTCTTTCATCTTTTCACATCTGTTAGTAACTTCAGACTCAGCGATAGAATGTTTATGTTCTCCCCCAAATGCATGTGTTGTAAACTAACCCCAATGTAATGAGCTTTGGAGATGGAATCTTTGGGAGGTGATTAGTTCATGAAGATGGAGACCTCATGAATGAGATTTGTGCCCTTAGAAGAAAGACCCCAGGGGGCTGACACTGGGTGCAGCAAGTTAAGCTGCCATCTGCAGCACGGGCATCTCATAGCGGTGTCAGGTCAAGTCCCAACTGCTCCACTTCCAATCCTGCTCCCTGCTGGTACACTCGAGAAAGCAGCAGAAGATGGCCCACGTGCTTGGGCCCCTGCACCCACAGAGGAGGCCTGGAAGAAGCTTCTAGGTCCTGGCTTTGGCCTGGTCCAGCCCTAGCTATTGTGGCCATTTGGGAGATGAACTAGCAGATGGAAGATCTTTCGCTCCCTCTCTCTGTAATTGTGACTTTCAAATCAGTAAATAAAAAAAAAAATCTTAAAAATAAAAGACCCCAGGGAGCTACCTTGCCCCTTCTATCATATGAGAACACAGAGAAGATGGCTGGCTATGAACCAGGAAACAGGCCCTCACCAGATACTGAACCTGCCAGCACCTTTTTCTTGACTGCCAGCCTCCAGAACTGTAAGAAATACATTTTTATTATTTGTAAACTACCTAGTCTATAGTAGTATGTTACAGGAGCCTGAATTGACTAAGGCAGACTTCAAACCCATCTTTTCTCCTTTTCCTATTAATGTCTCTGACTATCTTGGTAAGGCTCTGATGTTCTTGACGATCAAATCTACATTATTAAAGACTAATAAATTGATGTGATGAAACATTAGTTCAATTAATTAGTTTATCTCTGAGGTTCAAATTTTTCCTGCCCTGGGGGATCAGTCCTTGGAGAGGACAATATAAATTTTTGGTTCCATTGATAGCACCCATCAACCAGCTGTTAGTTACGTGGAAATTATTGGCAACCATTCTACCCAAACTTAGGTGCTATTTTGCTAAATAGTTCAGCTTTATTTTACATCGTTCACTTTGATTCATGGGTTTATGGGACAAATTTCAGCCTCTCCTTGGTTTCTAACATGCTTAGATTAACCGTAATGACCCCAACTTGTTTCATGTCACCTTTTGGGTACATTGAGTTCTATTAGATCAAAAATATAAAGCAAAGTACAAGACCATGAGGATTGCAGTATACTGGACTCATATTTGGCAAAATTTATATGGCATGGTCAGTTTGGAAATAATGTTTTTATTTTATTGCAAATGTCAGAAAAAGTTCCTGTTAACTAAGATAATATTCTTCAGGTTTGACTACACTGTGAGTATTCAGTAAGTACTTGTTGAAATGATTTGAATCTAACCTGTGCCCTATTTTGCCACTGAGAAAACTGAGGCCCATGGTAAGAGTCATCCCAAGGTCCCACAACTCATTTAATGGCAGAAATAACCTATAAAGGGGCAGGCATTTAGCACAGTGGTTAAGACATTGCTGAGGATGCCTGCATTCCATATTGTAATGCTCGCATTCCAGTCCTGTCTCTGCTCCCGAATACAGCTTCCAGCTAATGCACACCATCTGGAGGCAGCAGGACGGCTCAAGTGCTTGGGTCCTTGCTACCTACATGGGTGGCCCAGGTTGTGTTTTTGGCTCCTGACTTGGGCCTGGCCAGCAGATGGAAGATCTAGCTCTATCTCTCTGCCTTTTTTTTTTAAGATTTATTTATTTATTTAAGAGGCAGTTACAGAGAAAGAGGGAGAGACAGGGAGAGGGATTCTCCACCCACTGGTTCACTCCTCAAATGGCTGCAACAGCCAGAGCTGGACCAATCTGAAGACAGGAGCCAGGAGTTTCCTCTGGGTCTCCCACATGGACGCAGAGGCCCAAGCACTTGGACCATCTTCCGCTGCTTTCCCAGGTGCATTAGCAGGAAGCTGGATTGGAAGTGAAGCAGCTGGGATTGAATCAGTAACTGTATGGGATGCCGGCACTGCAGGCAGAGGCTTAACCTACCATGCCACAGTGGCGGCCCCATGTCTTTCTGCTTTTTAAATAAATAAATAAATAATTTAAAGAAAACATCCTCAGTTAATTTTTTTTTTTTTTTTTTTTTGACAGGCAGAGTGGACAGTGAGAGAGAGAGACAGAGAGAAAGGTCTTCCTTTGCCGTTGGTTCACCCTCCAATGGCCGCCGCGACTGGCGCGCTGCGGCCGGCGCACTGCGCTGATCCGGTGGCGGGAGCCAGGAGCCAGGTGCTTTTCCTGGTCTCCCATGGGGTGCAGGGCCCAAGCACCTGGCCCATCCTCCACTGCACTCCCTGGCCACAGCAGAGGGCTGGCCTGGAAGAGGGGCAACCGGGACAGAATCCGGCGCCCCAACCGGGACTAGAACCCGGTGTGCCGGCGCCGCTAGGCGGAGGATTAGCCTAGTGAGCCGCGGCGCTGGCCTCTCACTTAAGTTTTAAAAATTAAAAAAATAAATAGAGGTCAGCCCTGTAGCGTAGCATGTAAACCCGCCTCCTGCAATGCCAGCATCCCTTATGGGCACCAGTTCAGGTCCCAGCTGCTCCACTT